ACCTTATGTCTAAACACTAAATTGCATAATCCTAAATCAAATAAGGAGTGGATATACTTATATCATTTATCACTTCAGCAATATCTAGTAACTTATAACCAAGTGAAAGAAAGCATTCTTGATGTGCTTCAGAGTTTAACCCTTGCATATGTTAGAAAAGGTCAAGTGGCATAGTGGGAAAAGTGGAAAAATAAACCATGATATTTCCAGGTTAGTTGTGAGTACTTCACATAAACATGCCATTTTCTTCTTCCACAACTGCACAGAATTCTTCGGCGGTATCAAACAGCAAAGGTGAAAGACAGAAGGGCCTCAGCTTCCTGGGCTCGCCCTGCGGCCCGGGGTCTTCGGCCCACCCGGACCCTGTCAATCAGGTAGGCCTCCAAGGCTGGCTCCCACCAACTCTGTCGCCTAGACTGGAGTGCAGTGGCTGCTCCCGGCCACCGGAGCCTCGACCTGCTGGGCTCCGGCGATCCTTCCGCCTCAGCCTTCCAAGTAGCTGGAACTACAGGCGTGCGCTACCACGCCCGGCTGATTTTTGATTTATTGTAGAGATGAGGTCTCGCCAAGTTGCCCAGGCGGGTCTCAAACCCACGGGCTCAGGCAATCCACTCACCTCAGTCTCCCAAAGGCGCGGGATTATAGGCTGAGCCACCGAGCCCGGTTTTTTTTTGGTTGTTTTTTTGAGTAGGAGTCTCACTCTGTTGCCCAGGCTAGAGTGCAGTGGCACACTTATGGTCACCACAGCCTGGACCTGCTGGGCTCAGGTGACCCTTCTGCCTCAGCCTTTCAAGTAGCTGGAATCACAGGCATGTACCACCATGCCTGGCTAATTTTTTTATTTATGGTAGAGATGAGGTCTCACCAAGTTGCCCAGGCTGGTCTCAAACCCATGGACTCAGATAATCCTTTTATCTCCACCTCCCAAATGGCTGGGATTACAGGTGTGAGCCACCGTGCACAATTTGTAGATGATCTTTATTTATTATTTATTATTTATTTTATTTTATTTTTTGAGTTGGAGTCTCACTCCGTCGCCCAGACTGGAGTGCAGTGGCCGCTCCCGGCCACCGCAGCCTTGACCTGCTGGGCTTCGGCGATCCTTCCGCCTCAGCCTTCCGAGTAGCCAGAATTACAGGCACACGCTACCAGACCTGGCTGATTTTTTTATTTATTGTCGAGATGAGGTCTTGCCAAGTTGCCCAGGCGGGTCTTGAACCCGCGGGCTCAGGCAATCCACTCACTTCAGCCTCCCAAAGGCGCGAGATTACAGGCTGAGCCACCGAGCCCGGCTTATTTTTATTTTAAACATGTGGGGTACAATTCAGATTTAGGTATACAGGCGGTCATCATACAGGTAAAGTTTGGGGCCTCCCTTTCGTCCCTACTTCACCTGGTTTGAGATCAGTTTCCCTTACTAACGTCATGTGCCCCCTGCCTGCCCTGGCAGTGTTCTACTACTGCCAATCCCTTTCTTGCTGTATTATGATAAATGTTCAGGGTCTGCTTATGAGTGAGAACATGTGATACTCAGTTCTTTGTTTCTATGATAGATCACTGATTGTGATAGATTCTAAATCCATCCAAACTGCTGCAAAGTCCATAATCTTGTTCTTCTTTATGGCTGCATGATATTCCATCGTGTATATGTACATTTAAAAAATCCAGTGCAGTTTCAATGATCAGCACAGTCGGTTCCATGTTTTTGCTATATTGAGTAGTGCTGCAATAAACATGCGTGTGCAAATATCGTTTTTGTAGAGTGATTTAAGTTCCTCTGCGTATATTCCCATAAGGGGGATTGCTGGGTCGTATGGAAGGTCAATTTCTAGTTCTTTTAGGAATCGCCTGTAGATGATCTTTACTATTCATTCTCCCCACCCTCCAAACCCAGACTAACTCCCCACTCCCTTCCACAGTTTCTCCAATACCCTTCAACTCTGTCTTCACTGTTTCCTCTTTCCCAATTGGGAGCATCTTGCAGGACAATGTCCTTTTCTCATCTCTCTCCACACGATTGTGAGCTCTGACAAGGTGGCGCTATGACACATTCCCCTGGGTAGACCCTGGAATACAGCGGGTGAATGCTTGAACGCACAGTACCCACCCTGTGGTTCCCGAAGGCCCGCATGATTGCATTTGACCCTCACAACAGCCTGAGAAACTGCCAGCGCGAGGAAACACCCGCCACTTCACTGTTGAGAAGAGGGGCCTCCAAGAGGTGATCAAGCTGCACACTCAAGCTCTGAAGCCAAGTGCCTGGGTTCAAGTCCAGCTCTCTTTCTCTGTCTCTTTTTTTTTTTTTGAGTCGAGTCTCACAGGCTGGAGTGCAGTGGCACGCTCACGACCACCGCAGCCTCGACCTGCTGGGCTCAGGCGATCGCTCCTCCTGTCTCAGCCTTCTAAGTAGCTGAAACCACAGGCACGCACCACCATGCCCGGTTAATCTTCTGATTTATTGTAGAGACGAGGTCTCACCAAGTTGCCCAGACTGGTCTCAAACCCCTGGACTCAGACAATCCTCTGGCCTCGGCCTCCCAAAGTGCTGGGACTACAGGTTTGAGCCCAGTTGTATCCCTTACCTGCTGTTTGGCAAGCCGCTTAATTCCTCTAAGCCTCTATTTCCTCAACCGTAAAATGGGAATCACACTGACGCCACCGGATTGCTACGACGAATAAAAGAAGCTGCCCACAGCAAGCAAGCAACACATCATTAGTTATTAGTTACCCGTTTTATTCCAAGG